AAAACAAATAAAGTAAATAATAAATAAATAAATAAAATGAAAACATTCAAAAGGCATGCAATTAAGCACATAAATCACATAGACACATAGAGTCAAATAAAGTGAAAATAAGGGATAGAGTGTACCTCCCTTGCAATGGTAATCAAATGAAGGAAAAATAGCTTCAAAGCAATAAAAGGGTCAAGGCACCAATTAAATAGTAAAGTATAAACAAAATCACCAAATCCCTCCCAATTGCAACTTAAATGAAATCAAATAATGCATAATTTCCAAGAAAAGTAAATTATTGATCAAATTTCTAAAATAGAAAAACTACCAAGGACCCAATTGCAAATATTAACCAATCACTCAAGCCCAATTAACACATTTTGGGAAATTCATGGGTCCAAGAGCAAAGAAGGGGTCAAGTAATGGTTTCAAATCGCAATTACTCTAGGACCTAATTGCAAGAAAAAATAGAACATAATTGGGCCTTTGTAGCATAGATGGGAGCTAAGGGGAGTGAAGTGCAATTTTCTTTTTAACATGCATGCAGATTACGTAGAAGAGCCTTTCTTTTCTGCACCAATTCAGCCGCAATCTTCTTTCCATTTCATCATGCAAGCAAGTTCAACAAGTACCAAGGTTTCAACTACTTGTTGCAGGATTGAAGCAAAGCATTTGAGTTGACCCAACAGCAAGAGAAAGGGAAGAAATGCAGCAAGAAACGCAAGAGATTTCATGTATCAAAAAGACACCATAAACACCAGCAGCTCTACGATGCAACGAAATGGAAAAACACAGCAGAGGTACGAAGAGATAAACTCGCGGTGAACATGCACACAACATACCAACCAAAAACCTAAGAAATCATAAGCTTCAAACAAGCCCAAACTTGAACAAGCCAAAGAAAGAAAAGAATCCATTTGTCCACGCTACTGCAACAAGCCGAGAGCTTTAAGCTTGTTGCAGCAGATTTTTATGCGCAACTCTAAGTGCAAAACTATTATAAGACCAGGTAAACAGGCTCCTCAAAACATTCTTCCTAGTTTTCAACATAAAATTCTTAGGCTGAAACACAAAATTCAGGAAGAAAGAGCGTGCAAAACTGGAAATAAAATTTCTGTAACTTTCGGATGGCTTTGAAATGTTTATTGAACCTCATGCTGCAATAGCTAATAACACTCTTAAAAAAAAAAGTCCTCAAATTCTTGTTAAACTTCCTAAACCCATTATCAAATACAATACCAAGCACACAAAAGAAAGAAAATCTGAACTAGGGAAAAACTTGCAAACCCAGATTTGTTCATTAGTTTCAACTTTCTGGTTTTCATGTTAAAATCACACGAACACCGAGTTTTTAAGCCAAAACAACAAATAAACTCCAAATCTTGTACTTTGCCCTCCTTAGAATTCTTCAGACCCAAATTACACAAACAAGAACCAAAAATGCAACCTTTAGTACATTAGATTACATATGTGGGAAAACATTATCTGTTCATGGCTCCTAAACTGAATTCATGATTTCAGATGCACGTTAAATGAACAAAGAGGCTAACACCAAGCCTGTCAACGGCACAACAATATCACCAAGCATAACCACAGTCATAGTCATCAGGCATGGGTAACGACCAAAACTTAGAAAAGGAAGAAAATCATGCATAGGAGACTCAAGTCCCTGTGAAGATTGTGTTAAACTAATATTGAGAAGAGTCCATTATACCTGAGAGTACTTAGCTGCTAAACGGATAGGAGAGACCCAAAGAAATCGAACGGTTCTGGAAATTGAAATCTACGAACTGGGTTGCAAGAGATTCCAGCGTTAATGCAGGCGATGCCAACCGAAGATCCCTCCTTTTCTTTTCTGGTTTCCAGCCGAAGCCCTCCTTCCTTTTCTTCCCTCTCTTGGTTCCCTCCTCAAACTTACAGCCGAACTCTCTTTTTTCCAGCTCCCTCTTTCCTGAACTTTCTTCGATTCCCTTTTCTCTATCTCACGGTGGTTCTTACCCAAACCTAGCCGTCCTCTTTTGCTCTCTCCTCTTTCTCCCCTTTTCTTTTTCCTATCCTTTCCACTGCCTTTCTTTTCCGCCGTCCTCCCCCACTGAACCCTTAGCTTTGCTTTTATATAGCCCAAAGATCTCTTAGCCCTAACATCGGATGGTTCCCTCTTACTTGATGTCTTCCTCCTGCTTTATAAACCCTTAGATGGTTTGTTGTCCTATGATGCCCTTAGGATAGGGATTAAAGCCAAGTGGAATGATCAAACGGAGCACAATAAATGAAACCCCGTGGAAAAAGAGCTGGAAATTTCTTGTATCTGCATTTTTGCAAATGAAAATGAAGAAGAAAGGCTTGGATCATGTGCTTCTCAGGGTCCGTGAGCTTGCCTTTTTCTTTTTTCACTTTTTTTTTTTAACCATTTCCTTTTTTCCGACGAATCTTAATACTAAAAGGTCTTAAAATAAATTAAACGACTAAATGAGCAACAATAAATATAAAAATAAAAAACTAGAATAAAATAATAAAATAATAATAATTAAAAATGCTATAAAATGCTAGAAAGTGCCTAAAAATAAAAATCATGAGATTAATAAAAAAAGTAGATAGTAGTTATTACTAAAATAAAAAATAATAATAATTTAAAAAATTTTGGTGTCTACAGTTTACCCCTCTTTGTCTGAGTTTTGAAAAAATTTGAGACAAAGAAATAGATACCAAATACTTACCTGTGGTTATTTGGCTGCAAACTAGTCAAACGACTGACGCTTTTGGAATGAGGACTGACCCGAACAAGAAATTTAAAACGGGACTGACCCGAACAAGAAATTTAAACGGGACTGACCCGAACAGGAAATTTAAACGGGACTGACCCGAACAGAATTTTAAAATCGGGACTGACCCGAAACAGAAAATTTAAAATCGGGACTGACCCGAGATAGGAATTTGAAATCGGGACTAACCCGAGACAGGAATTTAAAATCGGGACTGACCGCGAGACAGGAATTTGAAATCGGGACTGACCCGAAACAGGAAATTCAAAATCGGGACTGACCCGAGGCAGGAATTTAAAATCGGGACTGACTCGAGACAGGAATTTAAAATCGGGACTGACCCGAAACAGGAAATTTAAAATCGGGACTGACCCGATGCAGGAATTTAAAATCGGGATTGACCCAAGGCAGGAATTTAAAATCGGGACTGACCCGAGACAGGAATTTAAAATCGGGACTGACCCGAAACAGGAAATTTAAAATCGGGACTGACCCGAGGCAGGAATTTAAAATCGGGACTGACCCGAAACAGGAAATTTAAAATCGGGGAAATTCCAGTATACTTACCTGAAAATAGCCCAATTCAAGAATTTTCCATTTTTAAGGTTACGTTTTTGCTTCTGAGCCAAAGGTTGATTCTACATTACCGTTTTGTTGTGCCTTTGATCAAACCTGCTTGCAGCTTTTCCGATCCGTCTTTGTTTGCTGGAAAACTTTTCGATACCGACTCCAGCGAGATGTGATTGTTTCCCTCCATGCATGAAATTTTTCTGCAAAAGAGAAAGAATAAGGAAATTGCCACCATCATTTGATCCGGTTCCCTTTGAGAATCGTGTAAACATGAGTCTTTTGATGCCTTTGTCAACTTTTTGATGTGGTATCTGATTTAGTTGGATTTATTACTTCAAAGACTTTCTGATTTTTCCCAGACTGATCAGGTATGCCTTTAGCCATATTATGAGATCTATGTAACGGGCCTTGCTGAATCATGACCATTTTCAAGAGATGACTGAATCCAATGTGTGCTTTTGAAATGAACCACGGGGATTGTTATTCACCAAAATTCAATGATAAAAAAAAAAATGAGGTATGCAAGAAAAATCACATGTCATGCAAGAATGAACATGCACAAGAATGCAAACATACCCATCTGTGCTTAAAGCCTATAAGGTGCCATGAATGCAAGCAATTTGGAAAAAAATGAGTTTCCTAAGAATGTATTTGCAAAAGAGTATTTTTTTTACAAAAGTGACACAGCTTTTGGCCAACAGATGTCATATTCGAATCTCTGGATATCTTTGTTCCGGAATTCAATATTGACAGAAGTATCACAAAAATGAGGAGAAATTCAAATGAACCAAGTCACCAACTGTTCCTCCTCGTGCTCGCTCATTGCAGAACCCTACCTTGGCGCCCTTTCGGGTTTTCACCAAGGTTGCCCCCACCCTTTTTGCTCTTGTTTTGTTTTTCTTTTCTTCTCTTTTTTTTTGAGGTGCCATTTCGGGTTTTCACCTATAGAACAGAGGAAAATCTTACCCATAATCGACTCAGGAAGATAAGTTGAAGATCGCTGGCATCAGTAAAAATGCGCTTCCCTTATAAGCTTAGGCGAATGCATTACGGACATCACTTGCCAGTTGATTAGCGAACTTCCTAATAGAAATACAGCAAGTGACGAAAGCCAGGACTTTGGGCTTTTGTAATGAGGTCAGGTGGGTGTTTTCAAGAAAAGTTGAAGCTTGAAAGTAGATTTGAAGAGTGTGAAATAACCTGAGATTACAATAATTTTGAAATGATTTCCAATTTTGAACAAAACTGAGGAAAATTTGCCCCAGTTTGATTGGATTTTCTCTCTTTGCATTTTTCATTGCATTTCCTTACTTTTGCATTTTTCTTTAGAAAACTAATTTGCCCGCAGTGTGGGGTTTTTCTTTTCCTTTTTGATCATCTCTCTTTCAAAAAATAAAATTTACCCCAGTGTGGGGTTTGCAATCCTCAGGGGTTGCCAAACGAAAATCATTAGTCTGATAGCTCAAAAGGGACGACTAGGGATTGAATGTTTCAAGTGGAAAAGAAGATGGCCTGACTTGCATTTTATCATTTGCACGAATTTCTAAAAGAAGTTTTGCATAATCAAATGAAGAATTTCTTGCACATGTCCGAGTTGATAGGTTGAGGAAATATTTGTCCATCCATTTCTGCCAAAATGAGTGCTCCGCCAGGTAATACCTTCTGAACAATGAAAGACCCTTACCAATTCAGAGCAAATTTGCCTTTGGCCTCATCCTGCACTGGCAAAATCCGTTTCAGTACTTGGTCACCTTCCTCAAATGTACGCAAATGGACCTTCTTGTTGTAGGCCCGGGCCATGCGTTTTTGGTAACATTGACCGTGACAAATAGCATTAAGCCATTTTTCATCAATCAAAGAGAGTTGTTCATGACGCTGCTTTATCCAATCAGCTTCTTCCAGCTTAGTTTCCATTAGAATACGCGATGAAGGGATTTCAACTTCGGCTGGTAGTATGGCCTCCATCCCATACATGAGCGAGTACGGGGTTGCCCCAGTCGATGTTCGTATAGAAGTCCGATACGCCATTAGTGCATAAGGGAGCTTTTCATACCAGTCACGATGCTTTTCAGTCATCTTGCGAATGATCTTCTTCAAATTCTTGTTTGTGGCCTCCACGGCTCCGTTCATCTGCGGTCTATAGATGGCAGAGTTGCGATGTCTGATTTTGAACTGTTCGCATAGCCCGTCCACCATATCATTGTTAAGATTCTTGGCATTATCTGTAATCAATGTTTCTGGCACCCGAATCGGCATATGATGTGATCTCTTAAGAAATTTGCCACCACTTTCTTCGTCACGTGCTTGAATGATTCCGCTTCGACCCATTTGGTGAAGTACTCAATTGCCACCAATATAAATCGATGCCCATTTGAAGCAGGAGGGTCAATTGTGCCAATCACATCCATACCCCACATTGAGCAGGGCCATGGGGCAATCATACTGTGCAACTTGGTGGGAGGAGCGCGTATGATGTCGCCATGCATCTGACATTTAACACATCTTCGGACAAAATCTATGCAATCGCGTTCCATTGTAAGCCAAAAACCCGGTTCTCATGATTTTCTTCGCCAACAAATGTCCATTCATGTGAGGTCCGCAGACACCGCTATGCACCTCTTTTAGCATGTATTGAGCTTCATCTTCATCGACGCACCTTAAGAGGTTCAAATCTGAGGTCCTTTTGTATAATACCTCTCCATTTAAGAAAAAACTTCGAGGCCATTCTGCGCAGGAAACCCTTGTCATTTGCACTAGCTTCTGGAGGGTAAGACCCGGTTTTGATGAATTCCTTAATATCATTGTACCAAGGGCTATTGCCAGAAGAATTGTCTATGACCCAACAATGAGCAGGCTTGTCTTGGAGTTGAATTCGAATAGGCTCGATTCCTAATTCGTCCGGATATTGTATCATAGAAGATAGGGTGGCCAAGGCATCTGCAAATGCATTTCGGGCTCGTAGGAGATGTCTGAATTCCAAACTTTGAAATTGTTTAGCCAAATTGAGCAAATTACAGTGGTATGGCAGAATTTTTGAATCTTTGGTTACCCATTGTTTCAATGTTTGGTGCACGAGTAAATCTGAATCACTGAAAGCTATTAACTCCTTAAACTCCATTTCCAAAGCCAGTTTAAGACCAAAAATTCATGCTTCATACTCGGCCATGTTGTTCGTGCAAGCAAATTGCAATTTAGCGGCTCCAGGATAATGCTTCCCTTCTGGGGATACAAGAACTGCTCCTATTCCGACTCCAAAAGAATTGGCTGCACCATCGAAAAACAATCTCCATCCAAGGCACTGCTCGCTCATATCTTCTACGGCATCGACAAATAAAACCTCCTCATCAGGGAAATAGGTATGGAGCGGTTGATAATCATCGTCCTTTGGATTTTCTGCCAAATGATCGGCTATAGTTTGTCCCTTGACGGCCTTTTGCGAAGTGAAAACAATGTCAAACTCTGAAAGAATCATCTGCCATTTGGCCAGACGCCCAGTTGGCATCGGCTTCTCCAAGAGGTATTTCAGAGGATCGAAGCGGGAAATGAGATAGGTAGTATGACTTAGCAGATAGTGCCTTAATTTTTTAGCTGCCCATGCCAATGCACAACACCTTTTCTCAATGAATGAATAATTAGCCTCATACTGCATAAATTTCTTGCTAAGATAGTAGATGGCTTGCTCTTTCCTTCCCGAGTCGTTGTGCTGACCTAGAACATACCCTACTGCTCCGTCGAGCACAGATAAGTACATGATCAAAGGCCGGCCCGGCTTGGGTGGCACTAGGACCGGAGGCTGTAGCAAATAATCTTTAATCTTGTCAAAAGCTTGTTGGCACTCCACATTCCAATGCAACGGCACTTTTTTTTAACAACTTGAACAGTGGCTCGCATGTCGCTGTTAATTGGGCAATGAATCGTCCAATAAAATTAATCTTCCCTAAAAAACTTTTCACATCTTTATGCATTTTCGGCACTGGCATGTAGTGCTGTTATTCGAATCGGGTAGCTCGCGAGCCGGGCTCGACCCGGCTCGTTAAGGCTCGAACTCGGCTTCGAGCCTAAAGACTGCTCGTTAAGTAAACGAGCCGAGCCGAGCTCGGCTCGCGGGCTACCCGAAAGGCTCGAATTTGAGGGATAAAAATGTCAATTCATTAATTATGGCTATTTCAGTAAAATACTTCCATCTATTTCCAGAGTCAAACTCCCAAATCCCTAATCCTTCATTCGCTCATTCTTCTTCCGCCTTCACCTCTGGGCTTTTGCCTTCTCTTTGGCTCTGCTCTCTTCCGTCCAGACTTTGGCCCGTCAGGCGTCAACCCTAAATCACCAATTCACCCTTCGGTAATAGCTCTAGCAGGGAGCATCAACAATCGCTCTTCAGAGGAGCTGACTTGTCGCACCAGCCCACCGCCTTGGTTGCGCAAACACCAGCCGCCACCTGGTGAACCCGTGTATTTTTCTGTACTTGATTTCTGATTTTGGTGTTACGTACATATAGAGCTGAGATCCAAAAAAAAAATTAAGGTGCATTATCTTCTTCTATTTGGTAATTAGGATTTAGGGATTTTGGTATTTTGCTAAAATATTGTGCTTTTGAGGCGTTATTGGGATGTGGGTTGATAAACATGAGCTTACAAATTTTTGTTTCCGCGGAAAAATAATACTACTATAAAAGATTGACTGTAATGGAGAAAGATGCGTGCATGGTAGTTAGCAGTGAGACTTCATGACTGTAACAAGAAAATTGGGTGCTGGTGGATAGAGATAGTCTTGGCTAAACCAGACAAGATTCTTCATTCTTGAGTCTGCTCAACATTTTCCTCGGCCTTTGATATGTTCAAGTGTTTACTATGTGGAAATATTTATTTTGAAAGCGAAATAATAAAGGAAAGCAAATTGCAGATGCTGCTGTTTTGAAACTAGTTTTTCCAACTATATCATTATTCTAACCTCCTATCCCTCTAGTTTATGATATATTTATCATTCCATCCATAGAGAAAGGGGGGGAACTCTAATTCGACTAATACTTAAATATGTAACCTGAAATATTTTAAATTTTTTGCAAGGACAAAAGTTTGGTTTTACGCAGAATTTTTTCCTTAAAAATTTCAATTGTTCAAGAGAGAAAAGAGAATTTTTCTTCTGTAAATACTTTCCCGAATTTTTAAAATCTGAAATTATATAAAATAACAACGGAAAGAGATTTAATGTGTCTGACTTTTCAAAGTTACATGGCCTGACTACAATGAAATCAAATATCTAAGCTTGATTTTTTAACGGTGTGAATGTGATGTTATTTCATGTTATACATTGAAGACAAGCATCAAAACTACTTTTTTTTTTTTTTAACAATTCAGTGCATCATTTTCGTAATTCTCTTTTGGGTTTTTGTAAAGTGTCCCACCTTTGCAAACAAAATCATTATCAAGCCTGTGGTGTGTCATGTGTGTGACCTGAATGTAGCTACCTTAGATTTGTGCCAAAGTTCACTTCACCTGTGATTGCTTCTAGTTCTATTCTGTAGGAACCCTGTCTTTTTATCTCATTTTTGTCGAACTTTGTTATAGTCCAAAACTTTTGTGGACTTTGTAGCCTCTAACTGCAAAATGCAATACCAAGATTGCTTTAGCACAATTGGCAAATTTAAAGTGGTTCTCCTTGTCAATGTCCACCCTTTAGCACAATCAGTATTGCCCCATCTATATCCCATAACGTTTTATTATTATTTTTTCCTGACATTTTTACTCTTTCAGTTGAGTTGGTTTCTTGTTTGCAACTTTTAGTGCAGTGTTGTGCGCAGTTTGACAAGCTAACTGGCAAAATAACAACAGTTCTGCATTGTAGATTGTGTATTGGATTGGGACTCATTTGGTGTTCTTGACTTTTGATGGATCTTATAGTATGTTTGTTATCCTTCTGAATTTGTTCAAACAGTATATTAACTTGAGTTACTCATATATTTTAGATATGACAAACTTGGAGGTAATTACTCTCTTCACACCGGAGGCTGATGGTAGTTTGAATGATTTATCCTAGTTGACAACTCTCAAGTCATTGGATTTAGTTGCTTCCTGAATTATTGCAGTGCTTAGACTAAGGATGGTTAGAAATGAGCCTTCTTATGTTCTAAACCATCTGGATTTACGTTATTTTATTGGTAGCTCTGGATCATGCTAATTCTTGTGTTCTTAACTTGTATCTGGCTTACTGAAAATGATGTAGAACAAGATGGGTAAGAGCTTGCCTTACTAGCAGTAGCGCAAGAATGAGGGATTGTAGCCTGTTTTGGGGGCTGTGAAGTGTGAACTATACCCATGAACAGTAACGTGGGTGGAGAAGAGGGGAAGAAGAAGAGAATTTAGGGAGAAGAAGAACAAAGGAACTAATAAACCAAAACTCAATGTTTATTCATCAGTTCTCTCTCTAGCATGACCAACTAGATGAATTGATTGCTTAATCAGTTTATGTAGATTGCTTGGTGTCAAGTGGATTTGGCCTTCAATAAGAGCAGTAATTATTTTCTCATATTGTAATAGATAATTGAAATTATTGGAATTTTTTTATTTATAATGAAATTTGACATGCAACCTTTGATTTATAATTATGCCTTAAATTTTTTTCTTAATATATAGGTATGTACAGCCCTCTTAATTCCCACCAAGGTTCATCTTCAAGTCCTGCTATGGAGCAATTAAATGAAGTAGTAGATCAAGAACTGGATATTGAAGAAAATCCGGATGAGATGACTGAAGATGAGTTAGAAATAATAGAAGAACATGACAATGAAGGAGGAGGAGTAGGAGAGCAAAAAGGTGATGGTGGAAATGAAGAACCAGCAATGCCCTTTGAGAAAAAGCAAAGGAAAAAGAAATCAACGGTGTGGGACGATATGAAAATTGTGAAGTTAGACAATGGAATAGAAAAGGTGCAATGCAATCATTGTAAGGAGTTATTTGCCAAGAGTATAACTGGAGCTACATCTCAACACAAGCGTCATCTAAATGCATGTTTACAAAAGAAGATGGCAATGGGAGAGCAAAATAGGATGAAACAGCAAGTGTTGTCTTTTACCGAAGGGCCATCCGATGGAATTACTTCGATCACAAATTTTTCATATGACCATGCCAAGGTACGGGAGCTTGCTTCTCATATGGTGCTTGCACATGAATACGCATTTTCTATGATGGATCATGTTGTATTCAATAAATTTATGAAAGTTGTGTCCCCATTTTATAAAAAGATTACCCGGCAAACTGTCAAAGAGGATTGCATTTCTACTTATCAACTTGAAAAAAGAAAGCTGAAATCTGTATTAAAGAGTGCTAGTCGAGTTAGCATAACTACAGATTTATGGAAATCTGGTCAAAAAATTCAATATATGGTTGTAACAGGGCATTTTGTTGATTCTGATTGGGCGTTACAAAAACGTGTGTTGAATTTTTGTAATGTGCCACCTCCTCATACGGGAGTAATTATTGCTGATGCTTTGAGTAAATGTTTTATTGATTGGGGGATCGAGAATAAAATTTCCAGCATCACGGTAGACAATGCTTCTTATAATGATGCTTGTGTTAGGAGACTTAGGGAGGATTTTTCTCTAAGAAAGAGGTTAAGTATTGCTGGAAAAATTTTTCATGTGAGGTGTTGTGCACATATACTTAATCTTTTAGTGCAAGATGGCCTCAATCAACTAGGTGATGTGATTGATACTGTTAGAGAGGGGATCAAGTACTTGAACAACTCTGAGGGTCGCCTAAATCAATTTGCCAAAATTGCGAAACAGCTACAGTTGCCCTCTAGGAAATTGATTCTAGATTGTCCAACTAGATGGAATAGCACATATCTCATGTTGGCTTCGGCTTTAGACTTCAAGGACGTTTTCCCAAGATATGAGGACATTGACCGGGGTTTCACTATGTTCCAAGTGATTACGAGTGGTTGCAAGTAGAAGAAGTGTGTCGATTTTTGGGTATTTTTCATGAGATCACTGACATGATTTCTGGATCCGACTATCCAACTTCTAACATCTTTCTTGTGGAGCTTTATAGGATTAAAGAGCTTTTAAATGAAAAAGCTCTTGATATTTCTGATCAAATTAGGACCATGTCTTTGAGCATGTCAGTAAAATTTGACAAATATTGGGGAGAAACCAATGTGTTGCTTTCGTTAGGTGCTATTGTTGATCCAAGGTACAAAATGGTACTCATTTATCATGCTTTTCCGATTATTTATGGTGAGGAAGAAGCTGCTGTGAAAATTGATGAAATTAAACAGCTTCTTTATGAGCTTTACAATGAATATGTTGATACTCACTTCTCCTCCCTTGCCGGGGAACAACCGAGGCAGTCGGTAAAGCGTAAACATAAGGAAGTGAGTAGTTCTTCGGCTCAATCTCAGAGGAATGTTAAGAAACTTGGACTTCCAATTCTTACTAGCAAGGAAAAATTTCAAATGCATGTTAGTGAAATTGACAAGGGCCACCTGAAAAATCAGATTTAGATATTTATTTAGAAGAAAGTAGGTATGCTTGTGACGCATCTGCTAATCTGGATGTCTTGGGGTGGTGGAAAGGAGAAAGATGGAGGTTTCCAATATTGTCAAGGATGGCCAGTGACTTACTTTCTATTCCAGTTACAACTGTGGCTTCTGAATCTACCTTCAGTGCTGGGGGAAGAGTAATTGATGATCGGCGAGCTTCTATGTCTGTTGAGACAGTGCAAATGCTACTTTGCGGTAGTGATTGGATTCGCAATCTTCATGGAATAAAAACCAAGTCTCGTGTAAGTGTATTACGCTTTCTAGTAGTAATATGTGGTTAATTGATTATTTTACTTCATCTTTTATCTCTATAGCTCTTATTTTTAGAGAATATCATGACTTTGAGTCTTTGACATTTTTATTTTGTAGGATCAATCTGATGTTGCCGAGTCATCTACGTATCATGAAGTTGAGCTTCCTCAAAATTGAAAGAATGCTAAATTTTAGAAATTGCTGCTGCTGTCCTTTGGTATTCTACTTCATTTTTTTAGCTCAGTAGCTCTTATTTTTAGAAAATATCATGACTTTTACATTTTTATTCTGTAGGATCAATCGGATGTTGTCGAGACATTTTACGTGTCATGAAGTTGAGCTTCCTCAAAATGAAGGCTAAATTTTAGAAATTGCTACTGCTGTTGCTCTGTAGCTCTTATTGTTTGCTGTCTTTTAGACTTGATTATTGCTTTGATGTTTGTTGTACGTGAACAAAATATGAGTACTTGACTACTTGTGAATTCTCATCAGCAACCATGGCTGAGGTACTATGAATGCCAAAGTGAATTCTCATCAATTTAGAGGAGTAATTTTCACATTTCTAAGTTGCTGGACATTCATACCAAGTCAAACACGGCTCTTTTGACTGTTGGACTGATAGAAAATTACATATGCTCTCTTTTGGTGGACTGCTTGATCTTTTCTCTTTTGCTAAATTGGATTAAATCCATAATCCCCACTCAACAAATATGTATGCCAAATTTGCATCTTCTGAATGGTTACAGACTTGCAGTGAACAGATGGCTGCTATGGTAAATATTTCGAGCTCGAGCTCGAGCTTAACGAGCTCGACTCGATTGTGTTAAACGAGTCGAGCTCGAGCGAGCTCGAGCTAAATATAGAGCTAACGAGCTCGAACTCGAGCTAGTTATTCGACTCGACAATGTTATCGAGCGAGCTCGAGCCAGCTCGAAATTCGTACAAATCGAGCTCGAACCACTACTACTCGGGCTCGGCTCGACTCGAATAACAGCTCTACTGGCATGTCTCGAATTGCCTTGATCTTTGTCGGGTCTATCTCTATACCTTTTTACTGACAATGAAGCCTAACAATTTACCAGCTGGTGCCCCAAAGGCGCACTTTGCAGGATTTAGCTTCAAGTTGTACTTTCGCAACCTTTCAAACAACTTTCTTAAATCAATCAGATGGTCCTCGGCTTTCTTGGATTTGATTATAATGTCATCCACGTAGACCTCCATCTCCTTGTGGATCATATCATGAAACAAAGTAGTCATAGTCCTTTGATAAGTAGCTCCGGCATTCTTTAAACCAAATGACATTACTCGATAGCAGAAGGTGCCCCAAGGGGTGATAAAAGCAGTCTTTTCTCTATCCTCCTCAGCCATTAAGATCTGATGGTATCCAGCAAAACAATCACAAAAAGATTCAATTTCATGTCCGCAGTGTTGTCTAGAATGATATGGATATTGGCAAAGGAAAGTCATCTTTAGGGCTGGCCTTATTAAGGTCCCTATAATCAACACAGACTCGCACTTCTCCATTTTTCTTTGGAACAGGGACTGGATTCGAGAGCCAAACAGGGTAATGGGATACAATGATAATATTAGTCTTAAGCTGCTTTTCAATTTGCTCTTTTATTTTGAGGCTCATATCTGGTTTGAATTTACGGGGTTTTTGTTTCACTGGTGGAAAAGCTCGGTTTGTGGGTAATCTGTGCACCACTACATCAGTCGAAATGCCAGTCATATCGTCATAAGACCATGCAAACACATCTTGAAACATAGACAAAAATTCGATCATCTCCTTTTTCTGCTTTTTGTTCAAATGAATGCTGATTTGTATCTCCTTAACCTCAGTCTCAGTGCCAATGTTAACAACTTCTGTTTCTTCTAGGTTCGGTTTAGATTTCTCCTCATATTGTTCAAGATCTTTTGAAAAAGAATCAAATACTTTCTCACTATCACTCTCGCTTTGAAATTCGGATTCCATAACTTCCAAGTCGTGAGTGATATAGAGATTGTCATCATCAAATTCCAGAACAGTGATATCCAAAGGGTCAAATAATTTTATTTTTGACCATCTGAAAGAATTAAGAAATTTGAGACAATAAGCAAATAAATACATAAACGAACAACGTGATAAAAACAAACTATGCACTTTCATAAAAACTTCAAATCAAAGCAGAAACAAGCTAAGAGCATAAGTGCAAAAGATGCTTTCATTGAACTATTTACATATGCAAGAAAAAGTTTTCATGAACTTTGGAAAATAACAACCCCCTGTAGATTTACCGAAACTCCTTTCGCACGGGAAAGCACTCGGCGGTCAAGTTGTGTATAGCTCCTTGGGGAATGTCTGGGAATTCGGCATTATCTGACGGACCATTTCCGGATATTGCTCCCACAAACAAATGAGTCAGGCTTGTCTCCACTTCGTTAATTGGGCCAAACTCAGATGTAATCACTTCAGCTGGCCTTGGAAAGGTATAGCGTAATGGCGGAATGTCTAAAACTCCTTGCTTGCCTTCTTTTACTGCCCTTTTGCGTGCTTTCATCTCTTGTATATCTCTGGCAGTCGGACGGAATCCCAAACCAAATAGGTCCTTCTTTTCGATGAGTTCCACGGGCTTCAGAATGCCTTGTAGATTGCATCCCAATCCCTTATCAAATTCATATCCTCCGCGAATCATCTCATTGGCCATCATAACACTGGCCGCTGGCAACACCATTTCGTCTTTTGAATCCTCACTTGTTACCCAACTCACGGAGACAATATCAGCTGTACAGTAGGAAGACACTAAGGTATTTCGGTTACCATCCTCCTCAGGCTCGGAATCGGCAATTACAATGCAATCTTCTTCAGCAAAAATGGTTATCAGCTGGTCATTCACCACGAATTTCAATACTTGATGCAAGGAAGAGGGCACAACACCAGAGCTATGAATCCACGGCCGTTCGAGTAAAACATTATAGACACTGGGAAAGTGCATAACTTGGTAGGCTATCTGAAATTGAGCGAGCCCCATTTCGACCACCAAATTTACTTCTCCTATGGACTCCCTTTGGGCTCCGTCGAATCCTCTAACTACGGTCTCTGAGGGTTTTAATTTAACATCTTGCAGCCCTAACTTCACCAACGTGCTCCAGGGACAAATATTGAGGGCAGACCCATTGTCGATCAGTACTTTAGGCAATATTTTCCCATTGCACCTCATAGCTACATATAAAGCTTTGTTATGATCAGTTCCTTCTGTATGCAGCTCTTCATCAGAAAAAGTGATTTATTTAGCAGTCAATACATTTCCAACTATATGCGAGAAATATATCGATCGAAATATCCTTGGGAATCCGAGTCTTAGTCAAAACTTCAAGTAATGCATCCCTGTGCAAGTCAGAGGAGAAAAGCAAGTCTAAGATGGAAATTTGGGCAGGCATTTTGTTCAGCTGCTCAACCACATTGTATTCGCTTCTCTTAAGTCTCTTGAGAAAATCCCATGCTTCTCTTTCGGTCACTGCGGGTTTTGGAGTCGGCTCATGGTTGCTTAGTTTGATGGGTGCTGGCAGTGGATGAACTTGCAATCTTTCCTGACCTCGTAACAACAGACACTTCTTCCTTCAAAATTTGTTTACCCCGATTTGCAAAACGGGCTCACTATAATTCCATGGCACCTATCGTAAACTTAAAACGGCACTTGTTCTGAGAATTCAATTACCACAGGTTCTAAAGCCGCACTTTCGGATGGGGTTAGGTCTAAAATGAAGGGCCTTTGTCATCCTCATACGATGCCTCCTCTATCACAAAAGATTGATCCATTATCCCAAACACTTCTATCTCATTTGACATGCTTCGGACAAGCTCTTCAAATTCTTTATCATCCATAATAACTCCGACAGTATCAGTGTGCTCCGGCAAGGGGTTCTTGCTGACATTCGGTCCTTGCTCTTCTCTTTTCCTAATCACAATTTCCCTTGCATCTAACATGTCTTGAATTTTATGTTTGAGGAATCGGCAATTGGCCGTGGGGTGACTAGGTGCTCCTGAATGATAATCACAAATAGCCTGTGGATTATACCCAACCGGCATGCCATACGGGTAAGTTGGAGGGGGAATCACACCTATTTTACCGGCAGCCTTTAATTGCTCATACAACTGATCCAAAGGCCTGCCTAGGTTGG